CTATGGCAGAATGGGAGGCTGGATGGATTCCGTAACCTAACCTCTAATCTGATTGAATTGGGGTTTCTGGTGCAGGTGTGGTCCAAACACAAATATTTTCAAAAAATACCCCAGGCCATTCTGATGGGCAGCCAGGGTTGATACCAACAGCTCTAATGAAGCCAATACTCTGCTTAGTAAATAAGGATGCAGAGGCCAGAGGTGTGGGACTATGACCAAGTCAAACGGCTCCTCTGGGATTAGAGCTGCAATCACCTCATCTCATCAGATTTTCCAAGTGAGTACCTAGGGCACATTGTTGCACTTTCTCCTAATAGAGATTTGCACAAGTGTAACATACAGGAGCTTTGAAGAGAGCAGCAGAGAAGTCAGCAGGGAAGAGGGTCCAGATGAGTGATAAACATAAGATTTCAAACTCAGTACTAACTGGGAAACACAAATCCAAAGCCTAATGCCTAGCAAAAATTCAATACTATGCTTGGTATGGTTGCATATCCTAAGGGCAAACTGCATATCCTACTGGTAATCATTGTGGTTGATACAAATGCACTGGAAAATGTCTGTCATGATCAAATAAACCTGGAGATGTACTTTTTCTTTGACCCAACAATTCTGACCCCAAGCAAAGAACTTGGAGCACATGCTCTCGTTAGGGTGATCGAATCCTCCAGAGAAGCACAAATTGGGTTTTGGGGGTGAAAAAAATCTTGGATGTTATAATCATTGGGTGCCCTCCAAACCTCAACCCGACCCAGTGACGTCCTATAATTAGGGTTAATATAAATTCTAGAATTTTCATATCACATTTTCCTCACTAAGAAGAGGAGGGCAATGAAAAAACATCGTGAGAAGCAGAGCTGGAAAAATGCTGCACAGCGCCCCAAGAGATGCGCCAGCCGGCAGTGAGGACCCAGAATGAGGCACTGCAACAAGTCCATAAGGGGAGGCTGGCTTGTGGGGCCAGGGAGCACCACATGGCAGTGGCCAGAGTGAGGCATGGATGCCTGCACACAGTGGCGGGGTGCAGCCTGAAGGCTCACATGGGCAGGTGGATTTACACCGTTCAGGGATCACTGCACTGAAAAGATGTACAGAAAAGCAGGGAAATGATCGTCACAGGAGTCTCCTGGGCAGCTACCTACCAGGGCCGTGCTCAGGGAGCAAGACCTCAGACTGGGGGAGGGTGAGACGGCATCCTCGGACCTGGATGGTTTATATTCCACAGTCAGTACAGGACACCTAGCATTTTATGCTGTGTGTGTGTGTGTGTGTGTGTGTGTGTGTGCATGTTTTGCAGATCATTCGAAAAATATTAACATAAAAGCAAGGGGGAAATTCTCTTGATCGTCACTTAAATTTTCAGGGAGGGTTCTTTGGATCATGTTACTCCTCTGCTCCCCAGTAATAACAAACTGCCTTCAATATGTGCAGTGTTTTCCCACCAGAACTTTCAGCGGCCCATCTGCACCTCGGGTGCAAGGAAAAAGCAGTGGCTTCAGTCAGAGGACTAGGACGGCAACGAGCATACCTGGGTCAAGGAAACAGCTTCAGCAAGAAGAGGGAACGAACTGGAGGAAGAAGGGGCAAACAAACAAAAAAGAAAGAAAAGAAAAACCAAAACTTAAGTCTGTAGTGAACAAGAGCAAGCTTTTTCTCTTGCATTATTCCTTCAACAGCACAGCGTAACAATGGTCTCTACAGCATTCATATGTTCTCACTTGTTGTAGCAGAGACAGCACACAGCACACAGTCAGATACCTGCAGGTGACATGCAGATTCCATGCTACTTTATCATCCCAGCATCCACCAATTTTGGGCCCATCTCCTTTGGGAATACATGAGGCTAACTAGAGAAAAGAATGCATGTCTCCTACTTCTTGGGGAGCCAATTTCAAGACAGACACAAATGTCCTCTTAAAAAACTCATTTAATCAAGCAGTTGTCACTGTTATATGTTACAAAGTTTATAGATTTTTTGGGGAAAGATAATATATATTCATATACCCCAAAACCAAAATCAGATTGGTTTTTAAATAGGTTTTGCCACAATAAATCCACCTATTGCTAATCCCAGGCACTCTGCTAGTCATTTAATATGAACTACCATTTGGACGGCTAGGGCTTGCATAAAGTTCAAAAAATATTAACATTCTCATTTAAAAACTGACAAGGGGTTTGCATTTGATTCATAAGCATTTATCTTATAAGAACAAGGGTTTGTATTGCCCTTCTAAGAGTTTCAGAGCACATCACACCACTTCCTCTGTTGGGTAGGTGTCAGCCCATGGCAGGAGCAGAAGGGTTTCTCTACTTTCCAGACCCAAATCCTCTGCTGCCCCAGAAGTCCACACTCCTAGCTGAAGACAGCAGGCATGATGGCGCAAGCCTGTAATCACAGCACTCAGAAGGCTGAGGCAGGAAGACTGCCATGAGTTCAAGGCCAGTGTGAACTACATAGAAAGACTCTGTCTCAAAAAACCTAAAAGGGCTGAAGACAGCTCAGCTGCTATTACCTTGGCCTAGTTCAGTTTTATGTCCACAGGTCACTGCTCAAAGAGAGGAGGAGGGAAGAAGGAACAGAGTATAAATAAACCAATAAATATTTGGACATGGACTCTATCTCTAAAAGCCTGGTTCTGAAATGGGGCTTTAAAACATCAGTTAGATGTTTATAGCTCAAGTTAAACAGAAACAACACAAGTATTTTCTGTGTGTTTTAAAAAAAATTTATGAAGCCAATTTTCTTTCTTTTTAATAAAATGTTAGGCAGAATTAGGTACAAATTTTTCCAAGGAAGATTAAGATAGAATAAACACAAATACTTTCAATTAGCAGCAAATTAAAAGAAAACAAGGGGCGAGAGTTTAGCTCAGGGGTAGGGCACACGCTTAGCACCGGTGAGGCCCTGGGTTCCTTCCCCAGAACCAAATCAAACAAACAAAAAGCAAAGCCAACACCCACAGCCCTCTCCTACTTGTAATTAGAAAGTCCATTGTTCTGTGCAGCAACAGTAGATGCAGATACTTCCAGTTTAACACAGACTTTTCTGTTTTATGATCAGAAGCAAGTGGTGAACAGCTCACTTCTTTTCCCAATTTAGGAAAAAGTTAAGGCCAGACAGGAAGTTATGTGTTGCCTGCCTTTTTCCCAATATAAGTCCAGAGATGGGAGTTGCAAATTCACCAGTGAGGAAAACTTTAACCCCATAGATTTTAAGAGAAGTCACTTAAAGAGTGAGAAAGTCAAGCACTGCCCCAGGATGATCTATACGGAGGAAGAAACCAGGGTCCCCAAGAATGCACCTGTCAGGAAAGAACAGCAGTCAATGGCAAAAGGGCTTCTGGGAAGGTTTGAGCTCAGGAGGTCACAGAGCAGCTCACTAAAGCAGGACACAACCGAGCACTCTCTCTGCCCCCAGCCTTAGGGACGATGTTTAAGCCTCACGACCAGGTAATGACTGAGCACAGCTAAGATGAACAAAGTTCAATTATCACGTCACTTCCTTTCGGACCCCCGGCAACCCCCTCTATAAAATGGGCCATCGACCCTTGTGGGTCTCACAAGACAGGACACAAAGGTGCCCTGGAGTTTACATATATTATTGCATCTGCTGCTCTTGGAACTCTGCAGCAGAGACCACACCTGCTGGAGCCATCTCTCCTCTCTTCTCTGACACTTGCAGAGACCTCCCAGAGCCCTCTCTGGCCTACATCTCCCTCACCTGACCCTTCCCGGCCCTGCAGAGGCAATGGAACCATCTTTGCATTGTCCCACACCCACTCCAGTCACCCTGGAAGGCTTGGCCTGACCCACTGTGGTTCCCACACCACCGTCAACTTGGCAGAGTTGGCAAATATATGTTGGCTGCTAGGAGCTGTGACAAAACACCAAGAATATTTCATTTTAAAACATAAACACCTTGGGAGATTTCACATTCCCCTCCCATCCTGTCCCCCCACAGCTGAGAACCACGAACCGATTTAATTTTACAGTCTCAAAGCATGGAAACTCCCCAAATTCAACACATCACAGCTGTTAGGCTTGCAAATGAGAAGGGTCAGCTGTGAAAATACAGCCCCTAGAAAAATAGGCCCCAGGCCAACAGCAAGAACACCTCTGGGGAGCCCCCACTCGGGCCATGGGTGGCAGGAAGTCAGCCTGGCCATGCCCTGGCCACAGGCTCTGCTTTCCCACCCCCCAAAATCCATTTGGTCTTGAAATTCTCACTCAAGATTTGCTCTTGAAAAACCCCTCTAGCCCAGCAGGATTCATCCATGGATTTTACCAATGTCATCATCTAAAGGCATACACACTTCCAATCAAAGCTTCTGACCTGGCCAGGCAAACCGGTATTCCATTCCCTTTAGAGACCAGAGTGTCTGCTTATTAAATTTGATTGTTTAGTTGGTCAATGAAATCTTAAAGCTAAAATATTCTGAGCTGTGCATGGTGGTACATGCTTGCAATCCCAGTACTTTGGGAGGCTGAAGCAGGAAGATCACAAGTTCAAGCCCAGCTTGGACAACCTAGTGACTCAGCAAGACCCTGTCTCAAAATAAAATAGGGCTGGGGACATAGCTCTGTGTGAAGACCCTGGGTTCAACCCCCAGAATAGGGGTGCTGTTGGGCTTCATGAAATAATGAAAATGGTATCCACAGGACTCTAAAAGCCTCAGGCAGGGAAATGGACCCACTGCTCAGGGCTGGCTGGATCCTTGGCCACTACCATCAGATCAGCATACTCAGGTGATCCCCAAAGAAGCCTTCGAGGGCAGCAGGACCTCTGTGGGGAGAAGGGACAGAGCGTCGAGGGTACTGAGAAGACACAGTCGAGTTTATACACACCAAGGGCCTGCTGCTTACATATGGTAACAGGCTGTGCGGGTAGAAAGGCGCCACCATGTTGATGAAGAAACAAAGGCTTGAAGTCCTGTGACTTACTGGGGAAATGTGGGCATGGCTGGAATTTTAGGTAGCACGATGGAATTAGCTCGCTATCTCATCATAATGGCGCTGCGTACACAGAAGAACATGTGTGTGTGTAGCAGTTTCTGATGAGGATTGGTGGCGAGATGCCAGTGTATATAAAATGTGCTTTCAAATCCTTTGAGGAGAGGAAGAGCAGGTGTGAACCATCAAGTGGGTGAGCAAGACAGCAACAAACCATGTGCAGCAAAGAATACTTGCTAAATCTGGGTGGAAGGACTATGGACATTCATCCACCTTCAGTTCAGATTTTCTGTGTGCCTGAGAATTCTGAAACTAAAAAAAATCTTGGGAGAATTCTGTGTTAAAAGGGCCATTAAAAAAAATGTGACCCAGGTTGGGATTTGGATCTTCAAAATGCTCGCTGAAATTTATACAAGTAGGCAACAAAGTGCTGGCCTCTTCCCGGACCCTCCCTCCATGGCTACAGCTGACATCTTGACCCCATCTCCTCTCAGAAGGCACCCAAGGGAGGCAGTTGGGCAGGGACCCCATTGGTTTGCCCTGGATATTTACTGGCAGTCATGGTGCAAGAAAGGATATGGGCTGAGCAGAGATGAATGCTCTGAAAGCTGAGGCACAATGAAGTCAGAAGAGACTGGTGTCATGATCTAGGCAGAACTCATGCTTTCCAACAGTGGGCTAATGACCTATGATGGCTGGTCACAGGCAGAGAGAGCTGGAGGAAGGACAGAGCGATCAGGAAGCCCCCCAACTTTGTGCTGAGGGTTAGACACCCCTCGTGGGCTTTTGAGCACCTTCATCCATATATAAAGCACATGGCCGGTCAAGTCACCATGATGGCAACCACTCAGTGGTTTTGGGACACTCACAGCTGTACAACCATCATCACTAAGGCCAGATGTGTCACTGCCTCCAACAGAAACCTTTGCCTATGAGCATATCCCCCCAGATCTTCATTTCTGTACCCCAGTGATCATTAATCTATATTCTGACTCCATGAATTTTAAAATTCTGGGCATTTCATATAAATGTAGTCCTACAATAGGGCCCTCGTGACCAGTTTAACTTAGTACAATAGTCCCAATGTTCATCCATAATATCATATCAGCTATTCTTTCCTTTTCACTGCCATATAATACTCCATTGCTATTCTGATGCAATAGCCACATTTTATTCATTCACTGATCAGTAAGTGGCTATCTGTGTTGCCTCTACTCTCTGACTATTATGAATAGTCTTAGGGGCATTTATGTACAAGTTTTTAAACTTAATTTTTAACCTATAAAAAAACTGTATGTATTAACAGAGTGTCCTGAGAGGCTTTGATGCATACACACTGCATGATGTTCAGTCAAGTTAAACACGTCCATTTGCTCAAACATTTGTCATTTCTTTTTTTTTTGTACCAGGGATCGAACTCGGGTCCTTGTGTTTGTGAGGCAGGCGGCTGAACCACTGAGCTAAATCCCTGGCCTCATTTGTCATTGCTTAATGATATAAACATTCAAAATACTTCAAGTGTTCTAAGTTGTATCCAAATTTTATGTGCCCATGTTTTGATTCCTCTTGGCTATACATCTAGGACCAGAATCCTTGGGCTATATAATATCCAGGTATTTAACTTTTTTTTTTTTTGGTACTAGGATTTGAACTTGGGACCTTGAACTTACAAGGCAGGCAGCGGAACCACTGAGCTGAATTCTTGGCCCACTGCATTTTAAGGAATTGCCAAACTTTTCCAAAGCAGCTGTAGAATGTTACATCCCTACTAGCAGTGTATGATGGCCCTAATTTCTCTCCATCCTTGCCAACACTTGTAACCGTTAAACCATTTTCATGTTAGTCACCTTACTTCTCTAGAAAAATGCCTGTTTGAATCCACTGCCCTTTGCAGGAGATGGTGTTGAGGATGTAATCCAGGGTCTCACACACGCAAAACAGGTGCTGCACACTGAGCTACATCTCCAGGCCTGTCCATTATTCAATTACGTCATAAGTCTTTGTTGCTGAATTCTAACAATCCCCTGTATGTCCTGTCCCTTAAGAGATACTTGATTTGCAAAAAGATATTTCTTCCCATTCTGTGGGTTGATTTTTAAAAATTTTCTTAATGGCATCTTTTGAAGAACAAAATTTTAAATTTTGATGCAGTTCAATTTACGTTTTGTCTTTTATCAGGTGCTTTCTTATTTAACTGCTCATGGTTACTGTGGAGAGTAGGAATTATTAATCTTGTTCTACAGATGAAGATGATGAAGGTCAGTGAGGTTAAGTAAATGGCCCCAGTCATACACAGCCATGGCCTGAGGTCCTGCCAGAAGCAACCATGCAAGCAGAAAGAATAGGAACTCGGGCTTTCCACCCAGGCCAGGGACTGCTACTCCTATGCTCCCAAGGTTCACCCTGTGATGTAGCTTATTTTTAAAGAAACTCCTCAGACATTAAACATTCAACTGTCTAAAGAAACTGCCATTACTCAAAAAAAAGATAGTGTCGTTGCTCATCTTTAGAAGCCTGCCTGAGTTAGCAGCATTTTTATCAAGCACTTAATTAGGATCCATGATTGAAACACATAGTCAATGTTTAAAACTATTACAGTGAAAGACACATTGCCATTAACCCCCCTCAAACATGACCCCCCTTCAAACACACAGCCTGTTCTTCTCGCCACTTTCTGGAGCAGTTCTGGAGCTCGTCTTGCCTGAGGGTCTTTAGCTGCACTTTTGTGGCTGCCTGAGTAACCTCAATCGATTCAAAACACTGGACTCTCATGGTCATTTTGACGTTTGGGCAGAGCCAGAAGTCACACAGCGCCATGTCCAGCAAAGAGGCGGATGAGGACATGCTGTTGTATTGTTATGAGCCTGGCCTTCTGTTGGGTGATACTCGGCAGCTTCTGTCAGTGTTTCTTTTCTATCACAATCGGCTAAGAGCCTCACAAGCGAGGTCTTCCTGGAATTGCTTCAGAAAGTGGAAAGAACAATGAATGGGTCAATGTGTCCGAAGTGAGGGAAGGAATGTGGGGGATTCGTGACAATGTCGCTTACTGTAATAAATTTTAAAAATTTAAACGTCCACTGCGCACTTTCACACCTTGTACATCAGTGTGGACCTGCATTTATGAAGAAGGCCCAGTTCCTGGGCACCACATATGAAGAATGAGCCAAGCTCCAGGCTATACTGTATCATTGTGCATTTATATATACAGCACCACTACACCGTCTCTTAAGATAGCATCTCAAAGTAGATCCCAGTTTCAAAAGATATCCAAAATGTTTCTGGCCATGGCAGACAGATAAAACATATACCAGAGGACATTTATAAAATTTATAGAAGATGATCATTTTGATACATTTTTAAACACTTGGATACACAAACTGACCACCTTTCTCCTTGGTCAGATCTGGTGATTCTGAGCTATAAATGATTTCACATGGTTCAAGACTCTCATTTTAGTGGGGAAATCGGCATGCCCATGTTCTGACCCTAATATTCACTGTCTCTGCTTAGCTTTCGGAGTTGATGATTTCTCCTTTCGCTCTCCTGCAGGCCTCCAAGTGGACCACACCAATCCAAGACTCCTCTTGTGCGGGGTGGGGAGCAGGCTCAGACTTCACTCTCTCATCTCTAACTGGATCCTTCTCCAACGCCAACTTAGCTAACATCTTAAATCCCTGCCGATGACTCTGACAGCAAATAAAAGGGACACATTTTATAAAGCGAGCTCTGAATGAGATATTGCCAAACTTCATTCCAAAAACCAGCTCTAGTTTCTAAGCTAAGAAGTAGATGGCTCTCTGCCTGCTGTTTCTGCCTCTCCTCCCCTCATTTAGGAGAGAGGGCCAAGGCTGTGTCTTGAGGGACTGTTGCACAAGGAAAAACTGGGGCAGGGCATGGTCCCAGGATGGGCCTGTGGAGGGTGGAAGAGAGCAAGCCGAGCATTCTGGGAAAGAGACTGGACTCACTGTAGGCCAGGTCAGTTCCCAGGGCGATCTGGTCTCTCTCGGCTGGAAACGGGGCCGAGTGCTGACATGGGGGTTTCCCACAGCTTCTACCAGCCTCCAAAGGCATATTTGTCATCAGAGGCTATTGATGAAGCAGTGCATAAATATCTGACTGTTATTAAATACAAAACAAAACAGAAAAATATTCCACGGGAACCAAATCAAAACCAGCTGTGAGGAGGATAGGCCAAAAGCTCAGTGTAAGAGCAAAAGCCCTGGCTGAAGCACTTGTTGATTGTGTTATTTACTTGGCTGCAAGAGGATCTACAGTGCCTACGAGTCATACATCACATGACCAAAGCATTCTTATCCAACGTCCTCGCTATGCAAGAAACAACCATTCTACTCTACTCTGGAATTCCAAGATCGCAGTGGATGAGTCAGAAAGGGGAATTTTAATTCAGGACTGAACCATCTGGTCAGCCCCGTTTGGGAGTCTGCCACACTGGATTCTATCTTACAGCCTATGTGATAGTTGGCGCTAAACTTTCCTTTTAAATGATCATTTGTGAATCGTCAGATCTGCAGAATGCAAATTCTCTTTTGCATAAAACTTCACAAAAATACAGATTAACCTAAGGGAGTGCTGTGAACGCAACTCAGAAATCACAACTGAGTGACACACATCAAACATTGGCAGTGTAGTCAAGGCTAGGGAATAAAAGAAAGCCAAAGGTCAGTCCTGGAATCGCAGAACTCCCAAACTTTCAAAACTAAGGAGGGGCACTGGGGTAGGAGACCGGGAATGTGAACTTCTCAAGGACATACCAGCCCTGCTCTTAAAAATCACTGTTTTCTCTTTAGACTCAACTTGAAAATGTTTTGGCATTTCTCCCTGCACACTGCTGAACCCACACTTGGAACAAAGTAAATACATCCAAACCCTCAGTACTCTAGTCACAGAATGAGGAAAAATCCCAGGAGGATAAATTGTAAAAACTGTAAGAAACAGGCTCATGCATTCACATGGTTTCCTCAACAATGCAGCAGCCTTTTAGTTTTATGCTTGTGTCCTCATGCGTACACGACACATCTCAATTTGATTTTCATCCTTCTCCCCCTCCTCCCTCTCTCGCCCTCCCCACCTCTTGCTCTCCACCAGAAACTCATCAATGGGTTCTGATATCTTGCTCAGTGCTATGACCCAAGCTTAAAAGAAAAACTCAGAATCAAAGAGACAGAAATGGGGAGACAGGATGACCAACGGTTGTGCAAGAAAGGCTGAACAAGCAAAGGCCTGGAGCACCTGAGCTGTCCATATTTATTGGTGACATCATAGGCAGAGGTAAAGGGGCTCTGTGAGAGGACGTGTAGTTGCTACGGACAAATTACTGATGTAGGCCAGGCTTGTAAAGGAAAGACAAAGCATTCTTGAATTAGGAGCAGAACAGAAAATATATAGGTTGTGGTTAATAACTAACCTTGTCTTTTTAAAAAAGGAGGTTTTAACTCTGGGAATGGAATTTAGGCGTGAGTCACTTTGACCTTGACATGTAGGCTTCAGCCAGATGACCTTCTATAAACAAGCCAATTATAGGGTTAACTCTTTACAGACTGCACTGCTTATAGCCTGCTTGGGGCATAATCAATGGGGGTGTTCCCCCACAGTTCCCTTTCCATCGGAGAAAGATCTAGCTCCCTACTTCCTATAATCTATCTTTTGTTCTTTATTTATATTTCAGGTTTCTCATATTAAAGAAACCAGGTAATACTGAAGCTTGTGTATCTGATTTATTTCACTTAACATTATGGTCTCAAGGTGCATCTGATTTTCTAAAAATGACTAAAGCTGCTTCTTTATGGCAGAGCAGTACGCCACTGTGTGTAAACAGATTTTCTTTATTCATCTGCTGATGGACATGTAGGTCACTCCCAGATTTAGCTTTTGAGTTGTGTTGCTACAAAAGGCTACATGTATTATGGCTTGTGTCTAGATATCTCCCCAAAGCCTCTTGCAGTCATAGAGGGGGCTAATGTATAGTGTGTGGTGCTGGTAACAAAGGTGTGTGATTACTAAGTCTGTTCACTGATTGGTTTGGCAGTTTTGGCTACGACTAAGGGTGTGAGTGCTACATCTGCCTTAGGGTGCGTAGGCTGCATAAAATATAAGGGACAAAAAAAGGACTAACATGCTCTTGCCTTCCTGCTCTGCTGTGGACTGTTTCTCCTCTGTGACGGCCCTCTGCCATGCCACCCTGCCTTGGAACCAGCCGATTATAGACTGAAACCTCTACAAACTGGGAGCCAAATAAACCTTTCCTCCTTTTAACTTTGGGAGGTAAGTATTATGTCTCAGCTATGAGAAAAGTAACCAAGACAACACGGGTGTCACTCTAATGTGATGGTTTTACCTCTTTGGGAAGATATCCATAAGGAGAACAGCTGGGTCAAATGGAATTTCTAGTTTCAGTTTTTTGAGGAAGCTTCATATTGATTTCCATAGTGGTTATACTACTTTACATTCCCCAAAACAACGTTGCAGCAATTGAAAAACACTTCTTGAGCTTCTGAACAGAACCATGCCTTGGATGTCCTACAGTTCATCACCTTAAGGCCATTTCTTTGGGTTCCAAACAGGAGGAAGAGATCTGGGAGGAATATGGAGTTAGGGCCAGTCTCTAAATATCCAACTCCATTCTCAGTTGGGGCTTTGAAAGTAAAGAAATTCCTAAATTTATATGGCAGCCTCTGAAGAGGGGAGAAACTGAGCAGGGCCTTTCTCCATGGAGCCCTCTACACTCCATGGGCAGAGTGTGGCTGTCATGTGGCAGCCAGATGGAGTGCAAATACTGTCCAAGGCCCCTTCTTTAGGAGATGTAACAGGGACAAAGGCAAATGGCAGATCTGTGGAATTTAAAATTTTTGATCCTACAGCTTGAGATTCAATTAATCTAACACATTTCAGAGAGAGAAGGAGAGAGAGGGAGAGAGAGAGAGAGAGAGAGAAATATGGAGGCTAGCCTCGAGCTGCTGGGGATCCTCCTGAGACTCCCCAGTGCTGGGATTGCAGGCAGGTGTGTGTTTCCTGGTTCTTACCACACATATTTCTCACTTAATTTTTTTTTTGGTACCGGGTATAGAACCGAGACTTTGCACTGGCCTGTCCTCACTGTGGTAAATTCAAGAGGACAGTTCTCCTTTATCTGGCAGTGTCAATTTACCAGACCTTTCCTTCCTCCCAGCCCCGTCTCCATTCTCAGTGCCATCCAGCCGTCCTCACTCTCACACTCTGTCACCCCCAAGTCATCAACCTTTGTAAGTCTGGTTCCCCAGGCCTGATCCACACCCTGTGTCTCAGCTCCTCCACCAACAAAAATTCCTCTGGTCGTTTTCCATTAACCTCAACAGCAACATGATCAAATCTGTAGCCCACCTTAAACTGCTGCTTTACCTGGGGTTTGCGATGGGGGAAGGAGGTGGGCACACACAGCTGGGTCATACCAGTCAGCCTCACTAATCTGGAACCCTTCCAGACCATTATTATGCCCCTTTCCGTGAAAATAAAGGTACTTGCTGTCTCCAGTAGGGATCTGCTTTGCATTGTTCTTCAAAGAGAACAATAATTTGAGGGAGACAGACTAAAGAACATGTTACTAAATGACACAGCAAACTTTAAAACATCAAAACTTCTTTAAATCAAAAGAATTATCTTGCTACAACATTGATAAAGCCTGAAAGTATCACGCTAAATGAAAGATGCCAGGCATAAAAGGTCATACTGTCATACTATCTGTGTGATGTGCCCAGGACAGAAAGGAGACTGCTGTGTGCCAGGGGGTGGTGAGGGGGACGGAGGGTGACCACTTGGTGGTGTGAAATCTGTTTTGGGAGTGATGAAAATGTTCTAAACCTAGAGAATGCTAAAGGTAGCAGGACTCTATACTAAAAACACGGAACTATACACTTTTAGAAAAGGATGAGGTTTCTTGCTCATGAATTATAACTCAACAAAGCCGAGACTTAATAAACATCTTGATTTCAGGCAATTCTGGCTTCAAGCCATGAGTCTGAGACACAACGAGATGACTCAGCCTTGGAGGCCAAATCAGCCCAGAAGGCCCCAGGTCTCTCTCTGGTCCTGCCCACGTCCAACTCTGACTTTTAAACAGCCTACTCCACCTTTAATTGAGGGCAGCTTTTCTTCTCTCCCAGGAGCTTTCCTTGCTGTCCCGTTCCAGGGCAGCAGCAACTGCCTCTTAGCACTTGATATGTAAGGACAAATGTTCTTAATGACATCAGCACTCGCATTTACATCTCTGCTTTTCACACTGGACTAAGCCCACCAGGGTCAGTGTCTCGTGAGTTACTGACCCTGAGTTCAGTTACCAGCAGTGTCTAGCACCAGGTTTTCAAAAGATGCTCAGTAATGTTTTTTAATATATATTCAGGGCACTTGTCCAGTACACATAAAGCCCTACATTTGTACTCCAGCACCACTCTAGAAAAGGAATACAGCATTGTCACATATAACCATCTAGTTCAAACATCTATTGACATTTTTCCAATTCCAATCCTGAATGATGAAAACAGCTGTGGAAGAAAGAACTTCTGAATGTGTACGTCAGCTAGATCAAGGTGTGGCAAAAGTGCTGTGGGGGGGCGTGGGGGGAGGTAGGCGTGTCCTGTTAACTACAAGATCCTGGACACGTGCAGAACAGGTCCCCAAAGCTCTGCATATGGATTTCTGGGAGAGCTCAAGCAGGTGTGAGAGGATGGTTTAGATCTGACATCAGCCTGAGGTGTCTGCCTCTCAGGACCCGGATGTAGAAGTTTTCAAGTTTTTCCTCCAGATTCGGACAGCTTAAAGAAAGGCGGCCATGAGGAGCGATGCCATCATAATGTTCCACAGTAGCCCACGCTATGTTTCCCAGACGCAGTGTGTACTTTTATCTTTGCTCTCTCCCTATTTTTCTATTAACTCAGTCCAAGCTTGCTCTGCAGAGCCAGTTTCTCGCCCACTCTTCATTTTTACTCTGTCGAATAAACTTTGCCACTGCTTTTTGCTCATTTTGTTCATTTCTTTGTTCAAGGTGAAAAGAACCTAGAATCCAACTTCAGAAGGACAGACAAATAATCTAGAGCCCAGTAACATTTAGTTGGCAAGTCTAAGCTGATAGCATCCTCATCCCCTTTCATTTTTTTATTCTGAGACAGAGTCTTGTTAAGTTGCCAAATTGCTGAGGCTGGGCTCTAACTTGTGATATTCCTGCCTCAGCTTCCCAGAGGTTGTCACAATTTTTTTTTTTTTTTTTTTTTTTTTTTTTTGGTGAGATAGTGTCTTGCTATATACTTCAGACTGGCTGGAACTCACTATGTAGCGCAGGCTAACTTTGAACTCTCAGTGCTCTTCCTGCCTTAGCCTCCTAAGTGCTGGGGTACAGGCATGCACCACCATGGCTGGCACAGTTGTCTCCCCAGTGTCAGGGGCCTTGCACATGCCAGGCAAGCACAGGACCATTAAGCTGTATCCCAGCCCTTCACAGAAGACTTTTATGCTTTTAAGTTTTCTATCAAGTGCATTATCTATGAAATTTTGTTTCTCAGATCCAGCTAAACATCACTATTAAAGAATGTGGTCCTAGATGTGCCAGATCTAATACTTTCAAAGATGTTGGAAATGGAAAAATTCATATTTTTATGTAAAAATTATGATTTTTCAAATAGGGCAGGCCAAAAACACCACTGCTGCAAGCCATATCTGGCTCATCGGCCAACCAGTTTACTATCTCTAATCGGAAATGTGATGCGTGGTTTGTGATTGCAAAACTATAAACATAACTTCAGGGAGGAAAACTCAGGCTTTCAGGAGAACCCGTGCCCCTCCTTCCCACCATCTCTTTTGTCATAATTGCTCCTTAAAACTCCTTTTCTTTTGTGAACCTTTAAAAAGACTATCAACATTTGACCAACCAAAATGCAAAATGTACCAGGCTTAATCATGGAATCTTGAGCACCAAAACAAGAGGCATAAGAAAAGATTTCAGTTCTAAGTCGAGTACAGATGTGCTATCTTGCTTTCCCAGTGTGTGTGAAACTCTCCCCCCACCCCTCCTCTGCTCCATACTCCCAGGACTTGGACTCCAACTCTGCCACTGAGAGCAGAGCCCTCACAGCCCGGCTGCTCCACCTGTGACCTCCATCAGCCCGAGAATGCACATTCCACCGGGTGTTCCTGAGGAAGAAAGTGGCCGATGGCCTTCCTGCAGGTCTCAGAAATCAAGGTTTTCCTGAAGCGGCTTGCAGAAACACGAGGGCCACATCTCACTCAACAGGTTCTTCACCCAAGTGACAAGAAGGAAAAAAAGCTGACCTATGAGATGTTGCTCTCACTCTTGTCATCCCATTTGAGGGGAATCGTACATTTTATCAACTGACCATAACAGCTCCACCATGCACACCATCCCCCTTTCCAAGAAAGTGAGCATGTGGGAAAACCAAAGGATAAGCTATGTTTTAAACTCAAGTTTTTTTGGAAAAAAAAATGATGCTGTGACAGTTTGTAATAGCTAAAACTTGGAAACAGCCCAGTTGCCTGTCAATTGGAGACTGGATAAAGAAGATTTAAAAAAAAAAAAAATGGAGCACTACTCAGCCATTAAGAACAAGAAGCTAGACACATTTATAGCTAAGTGGATGCACATGGAGGCTATACGCTTAAGTGAAATAAATAGGACACGCATGTGTAAACACCGAATAGGTTCTCTTGTATGAAAAACTAAAAGTATAAATAAGGATCAAAATGTGTAACTGACAATGTGAAATAGGAAGAAAAGGTCTAAAGGAGCAGGGGAAGTGGGAGGGGTAGGGAAAAGGAAAGAAGGGAAAAGAAAAAAAATAGAAGAAAAGGAAAAATGATGCCACAGTACCGGAAGGGAAGATACGCAAAATATTCTGAGAAACAACGCTACCTCTCCCCAGGTGTGTATGGGGCAGCTCTTCCCTAGTCAAGTTCAGGGCTCGAGAAGGCGGAGCAGAGTGTGACAAAGCCAGGCACGCACAGCTACTGAAGAGGACGAGCAGAGCCCAGTGCCTGCCATGTCACGCATGCGACGTGTGGCAACCAGAGCCAGCTGTCCAACGGCCACACGCACACCCAGCTTTGGCAAGGCCAGCTGCACAGGAGCCAATCCCCTGCACTTCCTCCAGCAGTGCACCTGAGCCTGGGGCACCTGAAGGATAGCAACCTACACACACGCTGAAAGCGGTCTTCTGCAGTGACCAGAAGACTTCTTCAGTCATTTGTGCTCTCAGAGAAAAGGTCAACATTAAGTACTTCCTTCTTTCTCCACAAGGACAAATACCAAGTAGGTTTTGGTCCCCGGCCCTCACAGAAAGCTTGCTGTGTTCTTACCTCGGCAGCCTGGGTTTCCTGATGCAGCAATGTGAGGCCCGTCAGGTCTTCTAAGAAGGAATGTGAAGAGTTAAACACCTTTGCCAGGAAATTAAATCCTTCTTGTTCATATTGATCAAGTACCTGTAAAAATATTTTATTATTAGAAAGGAAGATGCAGATTTGAAATGCACACTGAAAGATTTTCATTTCTAATAAGGATCTGTCAAAAAAAGAAACTAAAATTAAAATTTAGAATAAGTAGAATAATACAATCTGCTAAGTAAAAAAAAAAACCAAACTGGGAAATTTAATATTCTTCGTCCTCCTCCTTCCCCTTATTAGAAGGAATATCATCTTCCAATTCAGATGCCAAACTTTCCCAAATAAAGTAAGTTCCACACAAATTCACTAACAATTCTAGAAGAACTGAGGTTACTGGTTCTAATGTTCATTTGTTAGAAAAGAAATCACAGATAAGGGATGAGCCAAAACACAAAAGAATCAAGGGAAAGGGAAGGACAGAAGGTTTTTGTTACAAACATGACATACCAGCTAGCTAGATGTTTTTAAAAAAAAATAATTAAAAAATGGAAAAATAAATGTCAACAGGCACTTTACAAATAAGGATATCTAAAGGGTCAAAAAACAAATGAAAGTTGCTCAATGTCACAAATCACCAGACAAATGAAAACTAAAACTAAAACCACAATGAAATACAGTAAGTCCCCAACTTATGAACGAGTTCCATTCTGGGAGAACGTTCCTAAGTCAAATCATTCGTAGGCCTGACAAAGTGAATCTTATACTATATTTTCACTTTTGCTTTCAAGGTTGTTGCTTTATGCTTCCTAGCAGTCCCCTTTACGTCACAACTTTTCTCCTTCCAGGCTCTGACTGAGCAGTGTCACCACTGCACTGTACAATGAGCACACAGCAGCACGACTGTGACTGTGTCTGGGACGCACGTGAGCCACTACCGCGATCTGTCCGCATTTATGAATGCTGGCAATGCAAGGTCCATTTGTATCTGTGAAAGTTTGCGATTTGAATGTTTGTAAATTGGGGACTTAACTGTACCACTTTGAATCTTCCCAAAAGTCTAAAATGAAAAGACAGGATATACCAAGGATATAGAACAATCGGCACTCTCATGAAAATACAAAACGAGATCATCGCTTTATAACTTATGTGCCCCATGATCCTGCCAATTCTACTTCTAGATACACACCCAGCAGAACTGTGCATATGTGCGCCAGAAGACACAAAAACAAGCACAGCACATCAACTCATAGTACCGATACTCCTGATAGCCTCTTATGTTTCCATCCTCCATTTACATGGGAACAGCTAGGAACAACATCCACACTCTTTCAACAATGTTGCATAAGGGAAAGGAGAAGCAGAGTGTGCTGTATGACATTTGTATAAAGGTGAAAACCACCAGGTGAAATGAATCAGTGGTTTTAGGATTCAAGACAGCAGTAATCTGTGGAGAGATTATAACAAATAGGAATGTCCAAGGTGCCAATAATGTTTCTGTATCTGGGTATTGGCTACATAAGGTGAATGTTTTGAGAATTCATCAAGATGGACACGTAAGATTTGTGCACTTTTCTGTATATATGCTATCCTTCCATAAAGAGTAGACAGTAAAAGGGCCAGCAGTTTTTTTGTTGCTGTTTTTTTATGGTTTTTGTTTTTTTTTTTTTT